CTCTACGATTAATATTGGCGGAGTTACGATACAATAAAGTTTTGAGTATAATTTTGGCTAAAATTATATTAATTTTTGGCCGGAATTATGATATACTAATATAAGAAATTTTTTATATAGTCACATCTCTTTATAATCACCAAATATGGACTGTCCCAAATGTGTGACTATAAAGAGAGTTGACTGTATCTGGATTGGCATACCAAATTAATTGGATTATCAAGTATTTTAACAGATAAGATTTGTTCCAAATTATACAAAAGATATAAAAAACAAACTGGAAATGAGCCATGGCAACTAACAGAAGTACATGAATCAGAAGTCATAAATTCGAAGCCAGAAAACAAAGTATCCTATTTATCTTTTTCTGAGCAACATGAAGAAAAAGGGCCTATCACTTACAAAGCCAAATCTGATCCAGAATTAATTATCAAATCCATCTTAGAGCACTTTCCATACTTGAAATTTGGAAATAGTTTCAGAGGGATTGATAATTATGATTTTACATCACCTCAGCCGTGGAGCTCACTATGTCCTATTTGCGATGGAATACATGGGAATTATGGATTACATGGCGAATGGTATAAAAATGAAACGGAATATTGTCTTGCTTCACTTCAAGCAATAAATTCAAATTCACGATCGTAGCATAGTTCAGTCATGTGAGAGACGATCACCTGAAAATGTGCAGTTGCAATATAATTGTCTTACTAATCCTGATTTGTGCGACAATAGATTTCTTATATAACACTGATACTTTTTGCAAATTTTTTTTTTTTCTGAACTGTACAACTGTCGACTGCACGTTCCACTACTTTTTAAATTGAAAATGTCTGCAAGTACCACCATTGAACCCTCGGTAGAAGAAGTTGAAGGATATAATACGGACGCGCTTATCACTGTCTTAAATGGAAAAAACTTTGGCCTTAACGAAAATGAAATTCAAATTATTCATGAACAGGGGATTGATGGTGCTAGCTTTCTTATGTTAAACAAAAAAAGGTTTAAGGAATGTAACATTAGAATTGGACCAAGAGCTAAGCTTGTCAACTGGATTAATAATTTAAACAACCAAAGTAAGTTCTATCGTAAAATAGTTTAACGTTTGTACGTCTCGTGTGTTATTCAACAGACGTCTTTCAACACAATTATTTTCATAGTATTTATTACTCGTTTCTATGTTTTGCTTGTCTTTTATATGATTCATATAATACCGAATACTTACTTATTCTTGTGCTTTTCTTTCCTGCTTCTTATCGTCAAACCCGCCCAAAAACACATTCGCGTTATCACAGGTCAATCCGTTGTTGGTAAGTGAATTGTAATAAATTTAGTCAATGCGAGTGAATGCGAAATGGCTTGATTTTTCTTTCATAATAATATCAAATATTCCCGCTTTTTTCATTTTCTAACCAATAATGTTAAACTTTTTTGTATCAGGACAAGGTGATTTTCCTAATTTAAATTCTCTGAAGGATGTAGTTGAGGAAATCGTTAGAGGTCTTGATTTTAAAATGGAGCAGGGTTTTAATAAAATACGTCATGCTATAGAGAAAGCGATCTATTCACCAGGTATGTTATTCATTTGATCCATCAATCATTTCTGCAAATGCCATTAACGATTTATGTTTAGGTACTGATTTAACGGAAACTGAGAAGGGTAAAACTGTTATGGATAAAGGAACACATATTGTGTTTCCGCTCAAATGGACCACGAGTAGCAAAAGAAGTGGAAATGGAAGGTTTACAAATTCGCCTAACAGAAATGCAGATCCAAAAGAAGAAGAAGTACAACAATACTTTATTAACGAATGCAAGGAACTAGATAAAACTCCAAATATAAAAAACAAGCTTATTGTTGTGGATAAGCATTCTTCACCATCACTAGGAACTTGAAAATCAGATTTCCTATTCATTTCAAAAGGTTCACATTTAAATATGTTAAATGTTGTTGCCGTTGGTGAGATACAAAAACGAGGCAGTGATAATTTTAATAGCGCACAAATAGGACAGGCAATATCATTTGGCGAAAAAGTACTTCAACTTCAGCCACGTCGAACCTTTGTATATGTAATATTAACAGATAGTATTGTAATTAATATCTATGTAGTGCATAGGGTCAGTGATATATATGGGACATGTCCGCCTCATATTGAACGGACTGGACATTCCGGGACATTGTCCAACTGTCCATGTCCTGCTATGTCCCAAAAAGCTGATTGTCAGGGGGACATGTCCCACAAATTTTTTTCATTGTCCCCTGCGTCCCGGACGTCCGAAATTCAGAAAAAAAATTTATTTGATCGATTTTATCGATCTTTTTTTTTAGCGATAAATAAATTCTTTCTAAAAAATTTTTTAAACGGTAAATAAAAATGTTTTTTTTTAAAAAAAATAATAATATATATTTTTTTTTTTAACCAATAAATATCTTATATACCGCTTAAAATTTTGCTTTTTCTTTTTTAAAAAAAA